GAGCCCATCGAAGCACTTGTTACTATTATTAAGGGTGTACTAACTAAGACCAAAACGCCTGGTGATGAACCACCAGGAGATAATCCGCCTCCTGCAGTTGCAGGTTCAATAGACGACTATGATCCGAATGCTTACAGCGGGAGTTCATTCCCTAGGCATCTCATATTTTTTGAAGGTAAAGCTGCCGACAATGACATTGTCTTTAACCCTCAAGTAAACCCCTCGCTGCAGTTGCGTCTTTGGCAGGAGAAATCCGTTTCATTCCCGTACTTTGAAGACCTCTTACTTCCCTGGGAAGGCTACTTGTATGGCATAGACGGAGAGTCTTCCTGGACCTAGTGAGGCAGATCCTCTGCCCGTTCGTCCAGTAGCCCCAGCCCCCGTATACTACGGCAGCTGAGGTGACGTGAGGATAACAGAGACGCCGGTGTACCGCCACTGCGTAACCTCGATAGTTCACCCTCACACGGCAGGGCAGCCCCACTAGGCTGCCTCCCCGTGTCGGAGTTTACTATCTCGTTACCGGCCAGTGGCCCGGCGGAGGGACGTGTACTACACCTCCTGAAAATTTGCCGCACACGCGCGCGCGCGCGGGTCTAGTGCGGGTTGAAAGTCAGCTTAAGGATCCGAAATGGAAAAGCTAGGCAAAACGTCCGGCAATTTCTAGACAGCTATATACCAGCGTTTAAGGTAGCTACGGGCGCTATAGCAGCAGCTCGCTACAACCAAACCAAATGAAGCTGGATCACGAGTGTGCATCTGCAGGCACGTACAGTGTTATCTGACAATCTAGCCTGCCTAAGTGTCACCAATCACCCCAGCAACAGCACCAAAGCCAGACACATGCTCTACGAGAATACCGCGTAAGAGACTCTCATGGACTGGGCAAAGTTCGTCCCTTCTGGTGTCCTGGTAAATACAAGGCCGAATCCCGCTGTAAACCGCAACCTAGGGTTGAAGCCCAGGTTGAAGCCAGGTTGAAGCGGCGGCGTTTAACATATCCCGCCGGCGGGATATGTTAATAATAGTTAGCAGTGCGGGGTGCCTGCGGGATATCCATGGGGTGTGTGCCAATAATAGGGGTTGGCAAGATACCCGTGTCTGGGTCTCCCAAGGGAGGACCTGCGCATGGAATTCCACCGCTGGTTGCGCGACCATAGGTAGCACGGCCATCCAGAGCACTCCTGTTCAGAATTAGAGCAGTATGACCAAGATTAGAGCTTAAATGTTCAGGATGAGAGCTACACTTAGACCCCCTGAGCAAGCAACCTGGCAAGCTCACCCAGGAAACTTGATGGTGGCATTCTTCCCGACCTAAATTACATAACAAGTTGGCCGCACATTGAAATTGCTAGACGACGTACTCTAAGAGTGAATGATTCGCCCTCATCGAAAAGAAGGGGTCTTCGATTATCGACAGCTGATTCTTCACAATCTCGGTCCGCTCGACCGCGCTCGAGTGTGAGCGTACCATAGCTCGACCAACCGTCGAAAACACCAACTGTACCTGCGTCTGTCTCAAAAACAATGTTGCGCGAAGTTGAATACCGTTAGAACGAACAATGATGCAATGAACTCGGCTGACAGTCTCGTCAGCGACGACCTTTCAAAGACAAACATTGTGGCTTCTTGAACATCCAGTACCAAGATATTAGGGTTATTTTAGAAACGCGGAATGAGACTATATCATTGTAGCGCGACCGTCCCACGAAGAGGAGACCTCCAAAAGCAGAGTTCACAGCATCACCTAGAGTAACCATGAACAAGATTTGGCAGCTGGAGGCACTCCCTCATGGCACTTACAATCATTGGCAGGCGGTGAAGAGTCCCTCAAAAGATTACTTTCATTCCCAGATGAATCTGCCAAGAGCGCATCGATATTATATGTAAACACCTATCAAACACTAATGTAATAGTCAGTCAAGAACCGATTGTGAGCTTACTGTATGTGTCAAAGGCTTTCGCAGGGCGTGCCTATGAAAATGTAGTCACGCCAGATATAGCTTAACCACTCAGGTAAATGCTGCAACTGGCCTAAAAAGGCCCAGCGGCGTTCTTCCCAGCGATGCTGCTGAGCGTCTGATGCGGCAAAAACCTCAGTCTGGTACCAGCGACGTAGTTCTTCCATGCCTGTTTGCACTGGACTGTCCTGCATATCATCTTCCGGCCCATCGCCAGAGCCCCGATCCATGGCGGCAGATATTGCTAGGGAGACTGACTGCAGTTGATCGGAGAGACCGTCAATGTCGGATGAAGAAGTTTCATGGATTCGCCGCCTGTGGACTAGCTCGTGGAGTTTGACGGTGCTCACAAGTTACCTCTTTTGATCTGCATTGCCGTCCATACGGCTCGTCTCAAGCCAGGAGGCCAAAACCAACACCAGACGACACTGGTTGGGGCTCCCGCTCACTCCGGAGCGAGCTAATCACGATTACAGGAATTTCCCTGATTACAAGGAAGTAACTAAGGCCCATTCTAAGACTAGGGCAACGCCTTCAACCGATCGTGTTAACACGACGGCTGAACACGATCAGCCGCTCGATCGAAGCGCTGCCATATGATGGCATGACAGGCTTTGCAGCCCCACATCTCAGCGAATATGCCGAGGCGCGCAACGATCTCAGTGGCTAAGTTGACCGCATGCGCGCGAACGAAGCGCTGATGAAAACGAGACATCCAGGCGATTGCGCCTGGACTCAGGCGGGCGGTTCTAAGGGCTGGGAAGGGACGCGCTCGGCTCCCCCGACCCCTTTGAGCTCGTTTTCGAGCCAATGCAGCGTCGAGGATCGTTCGTCGACACCCGGGCATCGTCTCGTTAAGAGGGTTGGATCGTAGAACTCAAAATTGTCGAGTTCATCCGGTCGCGGCTCGGGAGCCGCGGCGGCCCGACGGCGACTTCGTGATGGTCCAGGGCAGCTCCAGCGCAAGGGGTCGGATGGAG